TTGTAACCGTGGACATAGGGCTCGTCACAATTATAACAGAGCCCTTGTTTGCGGCGCCCGCCATCTCGTCCGGTGTCAAGCGTTTGAAGGCGCGTGGTGGTTGTGCCGATGAAGAGGATGCGAGATGACGTGCTCCACGGGAAGGCGCCGGTACAAGCAATAGCGTGCTATCCACTCAGGGGCACGCGCGCGCTTGCATGGCGGCGCCACCGATAAGCGAGTAGAGCAGCGCGTTACGCCGCTTCAGACGCCGCGCCCGATCGCATGGCGCTACCAAGGTCTCTGCGGATCATGAAGCTCCACATCGACGCGGATGTGGTCCGGCAACCCACCGGTGAAGAGTTGTGCCTTCGGAGTGGCGACGACGGCCGCGCGCCGCGCGCACGGGCTCGAACGCTCCATGTAGGTGTCCACCGTGGGACGTGAAGGGTAGCCGCCGCCAGTCCGCCAAATGGTTAGTCGAGCGGCGGCCCGAAGCGCCGCCGCGCAACAACAACTGAACTTCGGCCACGACGGTCGACCGGCATCGTTCTCGAGGACGAGGTACCACTTTTTAATGTGCCGTGAGGTGGTAGGACGCCACCACGATTTCGGTCAAGATGGCGCGTCTGCCGCCATAGAAGAACTATTCACATTTATTCAACCAGCCGAAAGCGGGTCTTCTTTGCCGTCAGAGGTGGGGAACGAGAGTTTATGGAAGCGGGGCGGCCGAGCCACCGGTTTCGGGCGGTATGTCTTGGCGGCGGTGGTGCAAAGTGCATGGGTGCGGTGGGCATGGCAGCGGACGGCGACGGGAACGAAGCACCCTGCATGATTGACGACAGGGACGGCACGGGTGAAGGTGAGGGGGAAACGAGATGTGAGTAATTGGAACACCCATGGATGATGGCAGTGGCGGAGACAACACGGCCCCAGCAGTTGTCGCCCGGGTGTTGGAGGACGGCAGAGCCGGCTGGAACGGTGGCTGGTAGGGCGGCACGGAGAAGTACTCCGAGACGGTCGGCCCGGACGCCGGTAATGCAGGGATGCCTCTGTACCCGGGCAGCCCATACTGGAACGGCTACGAAGAGGGCGATGGACGACCCTCGAGCGCCGTCACACGCAGCGACAAGTCGTCGAGCTGGCGCTACATTCCATAGATGGCCGCCGTCAATGCGTTAAACGCCTCCGCGGAAGAGGCCGGTGGCGTCGGCGGCTGGGAATAGGGAAGCGGCACGGTGGGCACTAGGGCGGCGGAGGTGAGCGCGGTGGTGGCGGCGGCGGCGAGGGGTGCGGAGGAAGCAGCGGCGGTGGGAGCGACGGGGGCCGAGGAAGACATGGTCTCTGATACCAAGTTGTTACGACCTCGGGATCTCAGGGCATAGGGATGTGAAGGGGGAGGCCGAGGTTTGGTTCCCCGGCGGCGGATCGGCGGCGCCGTGCTCGGCGCCTGGATTGTCGGACCGTGAACAAGAACTCGAATAGGGGAGCGCCAAAGAGCGAGAGAGAATAATCTCAATTCTCTGACTGCCTTCTCATTAAGCAAAGTATGTGCCTTATAGGCCACTAGTACATGCAACCAAACTCACACATGCGGCTAACAAACCCCTGAAAAGGTTGACACGATCTAACAAACTCAATTGATCTAACAACTTTAACTAAGCTGCTCCTGAACTTGTGGCATCGAGGCCTCCCCTGGTAACCGCGCCCAGTGCGTTGTCGTGCCCCTCACGCGGTCAGCCTCTAGCCACTGGTGCGCTGCCTCCTCTGATATGTTTGGCCCACCATAACACTGACACTGATAATATATTGGTGAAGATGAAGAACTGAAATAAAAGCATAAATGACTAGGATGAAGTTTCAGACCAGGATGAAGACAGCAATGAGAAAGATAAGTCAAAAGGAAGCAGTTCTAAGGTGTATATGAGAAATTTAAGTGATTATATTGGAGAGCTAAATGCTGGCGATGCAACCTTGGAGCTGAAGCAGTTAGCAGGTGCTGAGTTGCTCGATGAAAATATTTCAGGAATAGGAAGACTTGGACATGGCTCTGATGCTTTTGGTTCCGATGATGAGACAGATTTGCCATTTGCCCCTCTCGGAACAGAGGAAAATATGGAGAGTTTATCTGATGCAAACAAACATGATGCTAATAATGAAGATGTCAAAGAGGAAGATGGTACAAGTCAGAACTGATGATGAACTCGACAATGACTCTGACGCTGATACTGATATATCCCGTAAAGATGAAGAACTGAAAGAAAGCATAAATGGTTCATAGGATGGAGGTTCAGACCAGGATGAAGACAGCAATGAGAAAGATAAGTCAAAAGGAAGCAGCTCTAAGGTGAATATGAGAAATTTAAGTGATTATATTGGAGAGCTAAATGCTGCTGATGCAACCTTGGAGCTCTGAAGCGGTTAGCAGGTGCCAAGAAGGCTGAAGTTCCGTCTTATGAAGCTTTTTTTTTTGGCGGATTAAGAGATATATTAATATTCTGAGCAATATCTTTACAATCGTGAGCTATATCAGCTGCTCAATACAGGAAGGAAAATGAAAGCGCCACACAGCGCTGTGCTTTGAGCGCTTAGCATGCCGTGCTAGCTGATGCGCTGACTCTGCTCTCTCTTTATGTGCTTAAAGACTAGTTCTCCTCAATCCATGAAATGATGCAATTATGGGATGTGTGCGGTCAAGTTTACTCAAGTTTGACCAAGTTTATAGTAAATATTATTAACATTTATGTCTTCAAATAAATTTATTATGGAAATATATTCTGTAACTAATCTAATGATAATAATAATTTTATATCATGAATGTTAATATTTTTTAATAGTAGTGTTTAGCAATTACAGTTGAAGTAACTAGCTTGTTGTCTCTCCTTGGTGGACAAGTATGGACATCATCAAATGTTACCACCTTGAGACCTGGTAGTCTTTGACCCATATATCAACCAATTGCATCCAGCAGGCCAGTCACATATAGCCCTAACCTTAGTCTTTTCATCTTTGACAAATTTGAGTGACTTATGTGCCTTTAGTCCATACTTTACAAGTGCCTTCTTGAACTGCCTGCTGCATCTGAATGCCATCCCAAGTGAGAAAGCAGGGAGCTCAGCCTTACTATCAAACCTGTTCTCCAATGTCTTCCACCTTTCAGTTTCCCCATCACTATTTTCCTCATAAGAATACTCATCACTGGAATCAAGGAAAGGACTGCCAGGTTCATCCAAATTTGGTACTTCATCAACTAGATCCTCTGCTCTAATGTCCACAATTTCACTGGCATGAATACCTAGCTTCTTTGCTCTGATGTTTCTCTTAATCTGCCTTGCATAATTTCTCAATTCATCATCTGCAGAGCTGTCTTCCTCTGATGGCTGCTTGTACTCTTCATCAGATGTATCATCAGATGACATCTGCACAGAGTCTTCTTCATCTTCTGTAACTGCAGGCCTTTTTCCTTTGTCTGAGTTCTTTGAAGGTGACTTGTAGAATGCCATGTAAGATTGGTAATCTTTGTCATCCATCAGTGGGCTTGGCATTACATCAGCAGGCATATCTTCATCATTTGCATCATCTCCTCCCTCATCATCACCAAGCCATATGTCCTGATCATCTGCATTGATCTCCATAGCCACCTCCTCAACATACATGTCAACACAACTACCATCACTGTGATAAGAAGCCATGACCTGGCAGGAATCATCATCTAGCAACAACACAAGGCCCTTATCTATATGCATCCCAGGCTTCAACCAGTACAACCTCAAGACACTTGTTGCATTATAGTGATCAGTTACGTGGCCCTTGATCTCAAAAAATGAAAGTCTGTCCACATCTATCCAGGATTCAGCAATATCTCCACGGCCGCTTCCAACGGTGGTAAAAGTACCACCAAAGTGAAATCTTATACACATTCTGTCCATATTATCCATCCTGCCAACGACATACAACCTCTCGGAACAAGAACTCAAAGAATCAAATTTTCCAAACCCTAACATACGATCGACTTCATCAACTGGGTAAACAACATCACAGATTCTTCCCCCATGCTCAACCACTACGCCGAAACCACCCCTATGACGACACTTAACCCTAATCAACAGCAAATCGAACCCCCCCCCCCCCAAAAAAAAACCAGTGCTATGCAATCTGACACCGCGCAAATGAAAACCTCAAATTGGGTCTACGAGTAGCAAGTGCAGACCTTGTCGACGTGCCGAAGTCCAGTCACCGTGGCGTGCTCCCGATCATCGCCGCGCCGGCCGTGTCGCCGGAGAGGGAGGAAAGAACGAGGGCGAGTGAGAGTACGCGGCCAAAGCGGGAGAGAGAGACGGGAAGGGAGGCAGGGGAGGCGTATTTCACCCGACGGGGCACCTGACAGGTGGGGCCGTAGGCCACGCTGGCCGCGGCAGCCAGGTTGGACGGCCACGTCGGCCAAAACCACTAGCCCAAACCGCCTAGGGGCCAAAGTGAACGGTGTGGCATAGTTTAAAGTTGTAAACACCCGGTTTTGTAGGACGGAGGATTAAGTATGCTAGGTATAATACTTGGGGTTATCTAGACTTTTTCCTTTTGAAAGCGTGCAGGAAGGAACTGTGGTGCTGGGAGAAGACGTCCTCAGCATGACAGTGGGCCCTGCTGCAGATGCAGATCGCCTGCTGCTTGTTGGGCCTCCCCACTCCAGCCGCTTAACGCGCACTTGTTCCAGACAACCTCTAAAATTATGCAAGTTCAAACAAACTGCCTCCACAGACATAATCACTGCCTGCGCTGTTTGCTTACTAAATGATCCGATTATCATAATAGCTAGCCAACGAAAGACAAGAACTCTCTCTCACTTTCTCTGCGATTCCCCACCCCACCCCATGCGATTCCCCCCATGCATGCGATTAGCCCCCCACCCCCCACACCCTATAAGTATTTCTCGTTAGAGCTGTGACAGCATCCCTACTACCGAACAGCAGTAGCTACTGCTTCCACTCTGTTAGGCTACTGGGTACTGCATCGCCGACTCCATGATGATGATGCGGATCGTCCTCTTCCTCTTCCTCTCCCTCGCCTGCTTGTCTCTTGATGCGTCGTGTTCACCTCCTCCTGCTGCTGCTTCGTGTGCAGGTAATTAACATAACATGCATCATCTATCATCTTTGCATATCAATCCGATCCGCCGTTTGCTTTCTTATCACGCGTGTACTGCTGCTGAACAATCTTTTCTTTGTATGTGCTTTAATTAATTTGTTGTAGGAACGACGACGCCCTTCTGTGGGTCTTGCAGCTGCAGTGCCGAAGACGACCTGAAGCTGCGGGAGGCATTCCTCGCCGAGGTGAAAGCCCACGGTTACGAGGACGCTGCCTGCAGATCCGAGCTGAAGGCCTACATCTGTGCGGTAAGTCCGTCATGGTTCCACCTCTCCTTTCTGGCGGGTCGGGTGTGCTCCTTTCTGTCTTGCACTCTCGCTGCTGCGCGTCGCCGCCGGGGACTGGCGGTGGCGGGTACCGTTACCCGGGTGTTTTTGTTTTTTTATCCAAATACAAATGGGTACAGGTAGTGGATTATCCATGTTGCCTCAAATTAAACAAGCAGCATGTGGACTCTCGTTACTCGTGCAGTGGCCGCCGCCGCTGGTGGGCCGGTGGCGTGCGGATTTCCTTCTGATAATCAAGGGAGGGCTCAGGCCTAGGGCCATGGCCCAAGTAGCCCAAAGATACCTATGTAATTTGTTGGCCCAACATCCCAGCAATCATTCCACTTGGAGTCTCGCCCAAATCCTCTAGAAGCTCATAATACGCCTCTGCTGTTCGTCTCGCGCAGGTGCGCGTGTCTGCCGCCGCCCCGGCCGACGACGACCCGCCCTCCGCGCTTCCTCTCCGTTGCGCCGGCGCCGCGGCCCCGCCGTCGTCCATCTCCACTACCCGTCACGACGACGACCTAGGCAGCACCGACGGCGGCGGCGGCAGCAGCACGCTGTGCGTGCACAAGGCTTCGACGCAGGCGTACGATGGTGTGGTGCCACTTCATGACGGATCTGGCCGACTTCTCTGCTGGCGAAGAAACGGGCAGATATGGTTGGCTACGGCGGACGTGGTGGACCCCACCGGCGGCTCCGTCCTCCGCGTGGGCGACAAGCCGGTGGTCGACCTCGGCACCTTCCTCGTCAGCCAGGACGCCGCCGCGCGGGGCCGGGGCCTCGCTGGGGTCGCTGTCCATCCCAGCGGTCGATTGTTCGTCTCCTACTACACGGCCGTTGCCACAGACGATGGCGGCGCCTTCCTCGTCGTCGACCAACTGCCGACAGCATCCTGGAGCGGGCACAAGGTCAGTTCAGGACACGTCCTCTGTTTTCACTTTTCAGCAGCTCGTACATACATCCTCTGATTTCGTTTGGCTAACCGGAACCGGCCCCACACGGCCCAGGCTAGGACTACGAGGACGAGGGTGTTCTCGATGGCCTTGCCTGATCAAGCCGAGGAGGAGCCCCGCTCCTCATCAGGCTTTCTCCTCGACTACTACGGTGGCCAGATCCTATTTCGGCCCGCCAACGCTGACCCTTTCCTTTACCTCATCACTGGCCCGGCCCAGAGCGATGGACAGCTGCAAGCAAAAATCTTGCGCTTTCGCGTTGGAGGCATGCCGTCGGGTATGTACGATTTTACTTGTTTGTTTTTTCATTTCTCATCATCTCATCGCAAAAACCAATCACCTTCAAATCTTAACATAATTTGCGTCAGGAATCGGTTCCATGGAGGTCCAAGTATACGCATCTGTCTTAGGCGTCCCGAGGCGATGCGCGTTCGATGCCGACAAGCCTCACGACCTCTACTGCGCAATCGTTAAGGTTATTCTGGCTTTTTTTCGCTGCTGCTGCAAGTGTTGCTTTCCTGTGTGGTGGGCCTTACCAACGGAACTCATAACGTGCAGGAAGAGCAAGAGGTTGTATACCTCACCTCAGACGGCCCATCCCCCTCTGCCATGCCGCCAAGTGCCTCGCTCATCGTGGCCCACCAACGGCCCACGCCAGGAACGCCGCCATCCCTAGTAGGCGGCCTGCTTTACCGAGGTTACTCGGACAACACCCTCATCGGAAGGTATTGTCCCTGTCGGCTTATCAGCTAGAATTTACAGTATTTTTCTCTCACAACAAAATAGCTTCAGCCGGCTTATGTATCAGCCGAACAGAGCACCGGTTCATTCATTACGCATCCTCGGTCTTTTCTTACCTGTGTACGGCATCGGCATGTTTGTACTCTCTCTATATACAGCTATATCTACATGGAAGGCTCAGAATTCTGGTGGACGGTGGCGTCGCCGGCGCGCAACTACACCACCACTCGGAACCTCCAGGTCACGTGCGCCGCACCTGCTACCGCTACATCTCACTGCCGCGGTGGCGACTTTGCTGGCAGCGTTACCTCCTTTGCGGAAGATGCAGACAAGAATGCCCTCCTGCTCGCAACAGACGGTGTCTACATGGTTGTGCAGCCCAGCCTCTGCGACGCCGACGACACCCACACCAGAGCCCCCACATCCACATCTACTAAGAGCCTTCTCAAGTCGATCTTTGGTGTGATAGGAAGCCTGATAGCGATTCTTGGTGGTGGTTACGGGGCGTACAGGTACAGGACATGCAGCTGCTTCAATAGGACGACTGACATCACGATCAACGCCACCAACGTGAACATCCACAACGGCGAAAATAAAATCCAACTCGCTGTTATTAGTACAGAAGGATAGACCCCAAAGGAGGTTTCTTTTTTTGGTTTTTCTTTATTATTAGACGTTATCTTCTTTTCGGTCGTTGTGGTTGTGTTGGTGATTCGTGTTGTTTGCTGTTGGCAGAGTCGTTCAAACTATTATAGTCGGTGTTGTTTTATTTTGTAACCTCCTTTGTGGATCGTTGTTTGTCTGATTTGAGTCTCTTTCTTTATTAATAAAATACAATATAATCGGCAACTCTTCTGTCCAGTCCGTTTAAAAAAAAATAGATTCAAAGATAATGTATCTTAAACATCGTCTTATAATTTAGAATGGAGAAAGTACTGCTTACTGCTGCTATTGGTATTTGTTATGGTGGCGTACCGTGTACGAAATGATGATTCCGGTCTCAAATCGGCCAGAGCAAAGCATGTGGCGAAGATCGTTCCCTTCGTCGCCGCTATTCTCCGATGGAAACTGACGACATCCTGTGACTCCACGTTATCCTGACCACATGGTAAAGATCGGACGGCAACGGTGGCGCGGAGAGATAGGGCTTGCGATCAATTGGGCTTTTTGGCCGTCGCTTTCTCTCGGTATCAGTATCAACACGGTTTATAAGCAAGCAAGGCGTGAGCACCTCCTAGCAACACCCTGCAGCGATAAATCAAGAGGTACGCCCTCCTTGCTGACTTTTTTCCCCCAGCCTTCTCATAGACGAACAAGCAAGCGGCGACGATGGGACGCTCCCTTCGCCGCCGCTAATCTCCGATGGAAAACTCTACCTCGCTGTTTCATATATATATATATATATATATATATATATATATATATATATATATACCTGTCTATGGTGTACTTTTGATGATATATATAATGTACTAGGCTACTAGATATTTGAGAACGAAACATATATTGTTTTGTGGTCCGCATGCATGATAACTCAGCGTAAACTAAAAATGTGCATATAACCTACGCTTTCTGCATTATATTCAAATTCTCGGTGCATTTGGATGCAACGATTGTTCGGCACTGGCAGCTAGAGATTAGCAACGGGACTTGATCCCCACAGAAAAATTAGTTATGGGTGTGTTTAATTTGGACACTGCCCAGCCAAAGCTTGGCCCACGTCAAAAATCGTGGATGCCTTTGAGTTGTTCCAGGCCCCAGCTATGCCCTACCAAAGCTTTTAACGGGCCAAATCTTGGTGCTCGATTCGACGGCCCAGGAATCAACCAGAACGACATACAAAAAATCAACTTCACACCATTGATATGAATATGGCAGCTCAAGGCAAACCTTCAGCACACATCAAGAAAAGATAAGAGGAAATGGGTCACCTTGTCTAATACCTCGAGTTGGCTTGAATTGTTGTAGACGCTCTCCATTAAAAGGGCAGAAAAGGAAACAGATGCAACACACCTCATAATTTTGTCCACCCAAATTCGACTGAATCCTAATTTTAGCATAATGTTGTAAAGGGTGCCCTCAGAAGCTTTCGATCAACCCTGAGGCCTGAGTGTAGCGCCGAAGCGACACAGCGCGCGGCAGCCGGCGATGCATGCAGCCTCGTCCCGTCCGTCTCCCTGTCTTGCTCTGCCGGTCTGTGGGCTTTGCCTTCTGCAGTTCTCTGCCCGTGCCGGTCGATCTGCCCTTCCGGTCTGTTCCCTGGACGAGTTCACAACAGGAAAGAAAGCGGCGAATCCCGGCGATGGTCAATCGATTCGCGCAAATCAATCTCACGCACGCCGCGGCACGGGACTGCTGGAACACCGATAGGGGTGAAAGTGGTACCGGTCATTTCTCTTCAACAGGAAAGAAAAAAATTGTTTTTTGAAAGAGAAAAAGTCTAGATAACCCCTCAAGTATTATACCTAGCATACTTAATCCCCCGTCCTACAAAACCGGATGTTTACAACTTTAAACTATGCCAAACCGTTCACTTTGGCCCCTAGGCGGTTTGGGCTAGCTAGTGGTTTTGGCCGACGTGGCCGTCCAACTTGGCTGCCGCGGCCAGCGTGGCCTACGGCCCCACCTGTCAAGTGCCCCACGCCTCCCCTGCCTCCCTTCCCGTCTCTTCTCTTCAAAGCCCCCCTCCGGTCTCCCCCATTCTCCCCTTAACCCCGCCGCCCTCTCCCTATAAGTAGCTACTGCTTCCACTCTGTTAGGCTACTGTACTGCATCGCCGACTCCATGATGATGATGATGCGGATCATCCTCTTCCTCTCCCTCGCCTGCTTGTCTCTTGATGCGTCGTGTTCACCTCCTCCTGCTGCTTCGTGTGCAGGTAATTAACATAACATGCATCATATATCACCTTTGCATATCAATCCGATCCGCCGTTTGCTTTCTTATCACGCGTGTACGGCTGCTGAACAATCTTTGTATGTGCTTTAATTAATTTGTTGTAGGAACGACGACGCCCTTCTGTGGGTCTTGCTGCTGCAGTGCCGAAGACGACCTGAAGCTGCGGGAGGCATTCCTCGCCGAGGTGAAAGCCCACGGTTACGAGGACGCTCGGTGCAGATCCCAGCTGAAGGCCTACATCTGTGCGGTAAGTCCGTCATGGTTCCACCTCTCCTTTCTGGCGGGTCGGGTGTGCTCCTTTCTGTCTTGCTTGCACTCTTGCTGCTGCGCGTCGCCGCCGGGGACTGGCGGGTACCGTTACCCGGGTGTTTTTTTTTATCCAAATACAAATGGGTACAGGTAGTGGATTATCCATGTTGCCTCAAATTAAACAAGCAGCATGTGGACTGTGGTAGCGCGCCCGCATCTCATTACTCGTGCAGTGGCCGCCGCCGCTGGTGGGCCGGTGGCGTGCGGATTTCCTTCTGATAATCAAGGGAGGGCTCAGGCCTAGGGCCATGGCCCAAGTAGCCCAAAGATACCTATGTAATTTGTTGGCCCAACAGCCCAGCAATCATTCCACTTGGAGTCTCGCCCAAATCCTCTGGAAGCTCATAAATTCATAATACGCCTGTGCTGTTCGTCTCGCGCAGGTGTGCGTGTCTGCCGCCGCCCCGGCCGACGACGACCCGCCCTCCGCGCTTCCTCTCCGTTGCGCCGGCGCCGCGGCCCCGCCGTCGTCCATCTCCACTACCCGTCACGACGACGACCTAGGCAGCACTGACGGCGGCGGCAGCAGCAGCACGCTGTGCGTGCACAAGGCTTCGACGCAGGCGTACGATGGTGTGGTGCCGCTTCATGACGGATCTGCCCGGCTTCTCTGTTGGCGAAGAAACGGGCAGATATGGTTGGCTACGGTGGATGTGGTGGACCCCACCGGCGGCTCCGTCCTCCGCGTGGTCGACAAGCCGTTGGTCGACCTCGGCAGCCGCCTCGTCAGCCAGGACGCCGCCGCGCGGCCGGGGCCTCGCTGGAGTCGCGGTCCATTCCAGCGCCCAATTGTTCGTGTCCTACTACACCACCACCGTTGGCCCCGACGGCGGCAGCGCCTTCCTCGTTGTCGACCAACTATCCTCGTCAGCATCCTGGAGCGAGGGGCATGAGGTCAGTGCAGTTCGATTCATCCTGTCTCTCTGTTGGCAGTTGATCAGTTCATCCTCTTTTTTTTTTTTGACACTTCGACAGCAGCGCAGCGCAGCGAACCGGCCCGATCCGGCCCAGCTTACGACTACGAGGGTGTTCTCGATGACCTTGCCTGATCAATCGGAGCCCCGCTCCTCTTCATCGGGCTTTCTTCTCGACTACTACGGTGGTCAGATCCTATTTCGGCCCACCACCACCGACCCTTTCCTTTACCTTGTCACTGGCCCGGCCCAGAGCGATGGTCAGCTGCAAGCAAAAATCCTGCGCTTCCGTGTTGGACAAGACACGTCGTCGGGTATGCTGTACGATTTACTTGTTTGTTTTTTTTCATTTCTCATCATCTCATCGCAAACACAAATCACCTTCAAATCTCAACATAATTTGCGTCAGGAATCGGTTCCATGGAGATCCAAGTATACGCATCGGTCTTAGGCGTCCCGAGGCGATGCATGTTCGATGCCGACAAGCCTCACGACCTCTACTGCGCAACCGTTGAGGTTATTGTGGCTTTTTTTTTTAAAAAAAGGAAATCTACAGTATTTCGCTGCTGCTGCAAGTGCTGTTTTTTTTTTGTGTGTGTGGGTTGTTGGTGTTGTGGTGAGTCCAATGCATTTACCAACGGAACTCGTAACGCGCAGGAAGAGCAAGAGGTTGTATACCTCACCTCAGACGGTCCATCCCCCTCTGCCACGCCGCCAAGCACCTCCCTCGTCGTGGCCCACCAACGGCCCACTCCAGGAACGCCGCCATCCCTAGTAGGAGGCCTGCTTTACCGGGGTTACGCAGACAACACCCTCACCGAAAGGTATTGTAATGCCCCGACTTCCACTTGGTTTCGTTCATTCATTCATTTCCCTCCCTCACCGGTTCATTCACCATGCATCCTTGTGTTTCACTACTCACTATATATCTGACTATATCTACATGGAACGCTTCGGAATTACGGTGGGCGGTGGCGCCGCCCGACGCTTAACTACACCACCACCACTCGGAACCTCCGGGTCACGCGGCGCCGACCTATCGCTACATCTCCCCGCCCTGGGCGGCGACGACTTTGCTAGCGGCAGCGGCGTTACCTCCTTTTGCGGAAGATGCGAGATAAGAATGCCCTCTCGCTGCAGCAATGACGGTGTCTACATGGTTGTGCGGCCCGGCCGGCCTGCGACGCATGACGACACCCACACCAGAGCCCCCACATCCACATCTACTAAGAGCCTTCTCAAGTGGATCTTTGGTGTGATAGGAAGCCTGATAGTGATTCTTGGTGGTGGTTACGGGGCGTATAGGTACAGGACATGCAGTTGCTTCAACACGACGACTGACATCACGATCAACGCCACCAACGTGAACATCCACAACGGCGAAAATAAAATCCAACTCGCCGTTATTAGTACAGAAGGATAGATCCCCAAAGGAGGTTTCTTTTTTTGGTTTTTCTTTATTATTTTTATTATTAGACGTTATCTTCTTTTCGGTTGTTGTGGTTGTGTTGGTGATACGTGTTGTTTGCTGTTGGCAGAGTTGTTCAAACTATTGTAGTCGGTGTTGTTTTATTTTGTAACCTCCTTTGTGGATCGTTGTTTGTCCGATTTGAGTCTCTTTCTTTATTAATAAAATACAATATAATCGGCAACTCTTCTGCCCAGTCTGTTTAAAAAAATAGATCCAAAAGACAATGTATCTTGAACATCGTCTTATAATTTGGAATGGAGGAAGTACTGCTTACTGCTGCTATTGGTACTAGTTTTTGTTATGGTGGCGTACCGTGTGCATACCTCTTTTTGTTTCATATATGTACATGTCTATGGTGTGCCTTTGATGATATATATAATGTACTAGGCTACTAGATATTTGAGAACGAAACATATATTGTTTTGTGGTCCGCGTGCATGATAACTCAGCGTAAACTAAAAATATGCATATAACATGCGCTTTCTGCATTATTATATTCCAATTCCCAGTGCATTTGGATGCAACGATTGTTCGGCACTGGCAGCTAGAGATTAGCAACGGGACTTGATCCCCACAGGAAAATTAGTTACTTGCGTTTAATTTGGACACTGCCCTGCCAAAGCTTGGCCCACGTCAAAAATCATGGGTGCCTTTGAGTTCTTCCAGGCCCACCTATGCCCTACCAAAGCTTTTAGCGGGCCATATCTTGGTGCTCGATTCGACGGCCCAGGAATCAACCAGGACGACATACAAAAATCAACTGCACACCATTGATATGAATATGGCAGCTCAATCGGAAATTCTCGAACCACTACAGGTTGTAATTGTCGCGGCGCCGCTGAATCATCTTTTTTTTTTCTAAAAAAAGCTTGGTTGCATAATTACTTAGCAATAATTATCTATGTATCAGAGACATTATTCAGATGATATTTAGATGAGATATTGTTTTTCATGGTTCACCAAAACAAGTCGTATGAGTATTACTGTAAGTCTCTTTTATATCTATGTTTTAAACTACCAGTATTGGATTTAAACTATTTATATTGTAATCTGGTAAGTTCAAGACATATTATATTATCTAGCGCCTGCATAGTGAATTAAATTGTAACTTTTAGAATCATTTACCAAATTCATAAATAAATGTTTTTTATAGGATTCCATATGAATAATTTTATACGGTAGCCATATAATAAAATCCTAGGCTAAATTGGCTCTCCGGGCCTGACACGTTGCTTGTGCCAGGTGAGGCCAGACCAAGTTTGCCCAAAACCATGCATGCCCTAACTCACTACCATCGCCTGCAACTACCTCGTGGAATGACCACACACACACACAAATGCAACACACAAAACAAAACAAAAAACGACCACCGATAGCTCCCCTGTTAAATACTGTAAGAGCCTTAGTTGACCACGGCAAGTGACCTCAAGAGCAACTCTTGGAACACTAAAGCACCAGTAGAATACCCAAGGCACAATGAAGTTATCGACAGCGGTGTACTTGGCTACCTGGGCGGCGGCGGCGTGGAAGACTTGGATGCCCTTCTAGTTGACACGGTGGGTGGTGTCTGTGTCGGGCCGTCTGTTGTTGAACTCCATGTACTTGACGTTGTCCGCGGTCTCCTTGACGACGTGCTCCCTGTTCCACGCCACCCAGCTGACGGCGCTGATCGCGGAGCTCGTTGCGGATGGTCAAGTTTGGAGCGAGAAAGTGCTGCCTGGGTGGGTGGGTGGGTCGGGGGGGGGGGCATGGCCCTCCTGCTCTGCCCTTATGTTCAACCTTACATATGGGCAGCATGATTGGCTGGAAGGCGGTCTAGCATCCATCGCAATTCTGCTGTTAGGGGACGTTTGGATCCGGTGACTAAATTTTAGGAGGTATCACATGGGGGTGTCGCATGGGATGTTCGGATACTAATAAAAAAACAAATTACAGAATCCATCAGTAATCCGCGAGACGAATTTATTAAGCCTAATTAATCCGTCATTAGCACATGTTTACTGTAGCACCACGTTGTCAAATCATGGACTAATTAGGCTTAATAGATTCGTCTCGTAAATTAGTTTCAATCTGTGCATTTAGTTTCGTAAATAGTCTATATTTAATACTACATGTATGTGTCAAACATCCGATGGGACAACGACTAATGTTTAGGAGGTGTAACCAAACACCCCCTTAGTCTGGTCCTATAGGCGACCATAAATGTGAGCATCCCCTGGCGCCCTGAGCTAAGCAAGCCCTTCTGTGGCAACTATGTGGCTACATCCGGTCGTGGGGCACACATCGCTGCTTCGGCAACTGAAAGCTCTAGTTTGGTTTTGGTGAATTGATGAAACCCTAAGTGCTAACCTAGTTTATCAAGTGATCATGAGATAGGTAGCACACTCCAAGTGGTGAAGCAAATGAAGATCATAGCATAATAAAGATGATGGCATGGTGATGATCAAGTGCTTCGACTTGGAAAGAATAAAGAGAAAAACAAAAAGCTCAAGGCAAAGGTATAATTTGTAAGAGCTATTTTGTTTTAGTGATCAAGACACTTAGAGAGTGTGATCACATTTAGAATTGATAGCCGTACTATTAAGAGGGGTGAAACTCGTATCGGAATGCGGTTATCAAAGTGCCACTAGATGCTCTAACTCATTGCATATGCATTTAGGATCTAGTGGAGTGCTAACACCCTTGATAATATTTGTGTAAATATGCTACCACATGTGCACAAGGTGTTTGTAGGGTTGAGATGGATTCGGCGCTTTCGGGAAAATGAAATGTCTATTTTCTATTGCGCCGGATGCAAAATTCTTGGTGGTTGGCACACTTGAGCAAGGGTGAAGAAGTAAGAGTTGAAATGGAGTTGATCGAAATGATGCTGGCGTTGGTCCAGTGACCGGACGCTGAATCCAGAAGCACCGGACGCTGACTGCCTGCGTCCGGTCGCGCTGACTCGGTGGTACAGTGGCTAGGGGTTGAGCACCGGACGCTGGCTGCGTCCGGTCAAGGTGGACCGGACGCGTCCGGTCGAAAAATCATGCCTCGGGGAGCTTACTGGAAACGACCGGACGCTGGGGCTTCAGCGTCCGGTCAGTTTTACCGGAGCGTCCGGTCAGCTTCGCGACCGTTGAAATCTGACGAACAGCGTTTGAAGCTGGTGACGCGTGGCGTCCATCGGGCGACCGGACGCTGAGGGCCAGCGTCCGATCAGTATGACCGGAGCGTCCGGTCAGAGCGCGTTTTGCCCAGTGAAGGGGTATAACGGCTCTATTTGATTGGGGCTCTATTTATAGCCCCATGGCCGGCTCAAGGGAGCTCTCTTGCACATTTTCATTGACATAGCAACCTTGTGAGCCTAGCTAAAGCCCTCCCACTCATCTACATCATTGATTCATCATCATAGTGAGATTGGGAGTGAATCCAAGTGCATTGCTTGAGTGATTGCATCTAGAGGCACTTGGTGATTGTGTTTCGCTGCGGATTTCGCTTGTTACTCTTGGTGGTTGCCGCCACCTAG